ATAATAAATTTTAACGACAAATAATTCTCAATCATGATTGGCTAATTTTGGGGCCAAACCAAATCGGTTGATATGTATGATAGAAAGAGGAATAGTTTATATTAAAATTTAGTAAAAAATTTTTTTGTTAGAATATAGAAGATAGTTTTATAGCTAAAATTAAATTTTGATTAGCTTTATAAAATGTAGTTACAGTAACTATAGTTACAAATATTGATTTTTAATTTAAATATTTAAACCCCAAAAATTTTCTTATTGGCAAAATTTTAAGTTATTATAAGTATTTGAATTTTATACACTTTACGAATAGAAATTATCTTCACACTAAATAAAATCTTGCAATTTTTTTAACATAAGGCCAAGCTATATATGTGCTATAGATCAAAAGCAGGCGATGAAAAAAGATATTTTGGGATAGAGACGTACGTACGCCCTCGCGAGATGATTACATTCATTCAAAAAATTTGACAAACAATAAATCACAACCGATTAATGAATTTGTTTTAGTAAATTTGATAAAATCTATCAATTTTGAAACATCCTACCTCAAAAAAAATCAATAAACAAATTGATACGATATAGATCAAAACAAATTTAATCGAGAATTTCTTTTTGACTGAAAATTACACCACTCCAATCTTCTTCAATCCCAAGTAAATCACAACTAGTTTTCCACCAGAATTTTTGCTTTTCTTCATCATAGCTTTCATCACTGGATTTGTCGATTTGGCAAGACTGATTAATATAAATTCCACTTTTATTTTTAAGTTCTGGCGAAGTGGCAGCATAAGTGATTACAGTTCCACCCTTCATCAAAATAAGATAAATATTTGATCAAGTTGTTTATAAATTATCTCAAAGAATCGAAATAAAAACCTGTTCGGGTGTCTTGGTAAATGGCGCCCACGACATAATATATTTAAGAAATAATTGGGTAAAAATTCCGCTTTCCCTTGCTAACCCTGTTGTAGGGCAGAATCCCGGTCCAACTATTAAAACGTCAACTTTTCTTTCCTTCTCACCTTTCTTATTCAATAATTTATCCAAATAATATCCAAAAAATACTTGTGCCAACTTTGAATTCCTATAGAATAACAAAGGAGAATACATTTTTGACCCATCTAAATTTTCAATATCCATTATTGGTCGATTTTCTCCATGTTCTTTCGCTCCAATGCCGGGTTTATGTAACGCACTATTAACTAAAATAATTCTCGAATCCGGCCCCGATTCAATCAATCTAGGAAGTAATTCATAGACTAAAATAACATTCGCAAGATGATTGACCTGAAATGTCTGTTCAAAACCATCTTCTGTTTTAGTCAGAGTGGCCTTTACAACACCAGCATTCAAGATTAAGATGTTTACATGAAGTTGTGGTTTTCGAGATAGAATACTTTGAGCAAATGATTTTACGGATGTTAATGAGGATAAATCAAGCTTAAGAATTTCCACTAAATGTTGTGAAGGAACAATGGACTTGATCTTTGTTTCGGTTTGATGAATGTTACGTACTGCTAAGATTATGTGGTATGGTGTTTGTTGGCTTAGTAGTTGTTTAAAAACTTCGAAGCTAATATAGATATATAAATTTAAAAGTCAAATTTAACAGTGAATCATTTCAAAGTTTTTTTTAAATATTTTTTAAGATACCCGAGCCCAGAATTAGCACCTGTCAATATGACAAGTTTACGATCCGAAACATCCATTTTCAAAATGAAAAAATACTGTATACAGTACTTTGATATCTGATATGTACAACGATAACGATAATAGATTAATAGATTTATTTATATACAGAAAAGATCTACGTATACATGAGCTCATCACCGAACTTTTTTTCCCGTTTTTTTTTTTTTTGAACTTATGTAATATATAGAATAATAGATAATAATAGAATTAAGTTGAAATCCGGAATAAGTGTTCCAAACGCAAAAGTATATATTAATTTTCCTTGTTGCAAGTATTTTTCGTAATGATTTAAATCTTAATACGTTTAAATACTTTGTTTTAACTTTCAAATATATATATCTGTCAAATACGTATATAACGGAATTTTGAGTCTATAATAAAAAAATTTTTGAAAAATCCGTCATCGTTTTACAGTTTTTTTTATTAATATGCATATAAATTTTTAAATTTAAAATCCGTTATAAGCCTATTCCGTTATATACATATCCATTATATCCATATTTGAAAGTATATCCAATTTGAGAATTAATTGAATTATTTCTAACAATAGGTTTATTCAGTTTTTCTTTTTACCCAGAATGGTATCGAAATCAACAACTAAATGTGATCGAACAAACGAGGAAATCGAATTAATTGACCTTGATCAAATGCTCTGTTCTCTCAATTCTGGTAGTATTAAAAAAATGGCACAATCAGACCTTCAACAAATTTATTCACGTATTATATCACAAGAAAAATCATTAACATTTCGTCAAATGATTTTTTCATTGGCGAGAGAAATTTATGGTTCAAGTGATTCGATTAATCAAATATTAAATTCTAATTCTGAGATTCTAGGTGATGATTTCAATATAATTATTCAGGACTCTTCTCAAAAAATATATAATTCTTCCACATCTACAAATGATCACATTAAGCAAGATTCGCTGAACGTATACGAAGGAGATGTTGTAATGTTTGATTCTACCCAAGAAAACAAAGTAGATCATCAAGATCTTAATCATACGTCAAACCGCAATGGTAATATTGAACTTACGTCTGAATATACTACATTTAATGATAATATATTAGAAGCTCAACATCAAGAACAGCCATCACTTTTAGAACCTGTCATAGATCTTGGATCAACATATGTCAATGGAGAGAAACCTTTGGAAAATTTACGACATGAAGAACCTGATGAAATAATAATTCAACGAAGGCCTTTGATATCTGAATCTCAAAATTACATTTCACCTACTAATGAAGAAAATAAAGGCCCATCAGGTTCTCAAGCACGACCGCAACAATCAAGCAATTTGATGTCAGATGTTCAATCTAAAGAACGTATTGATTCTCACTATGTCAAAAAGGAGGATGAAAATACTCATGGAACTTTTTTGAATCAAGAATACCAGAGAGAGAAGACCACTGATATAATTAAAACTGAAGGGAGTGCATCAGATAATTTGGACACTTTACATAAATTTCCGGAAGTATCTATTTCTAGTGAGTCGAATGGTATTGGGACTAAGGAATATCCAATTGTTTTGGATGACAATGACGATGATGATGAGGATGCTCTTATTATAATTGAACGTCCTTAAAATGAATGTATTGTACATTGAAATGCAATAGAATTTTTATGTATACATTTACAACCAAATTTCAAATTCATTCAGTTAAAGAATTCGATTTCTACTTAAATGAATTTAAACGAAATTAATCAGTCAGTAATTAGTTAATAAATTGATCTGAGGTAAGTGAAATTAACATCGGAGAATTCTTTAATATAGAACTCATTTAAGTAATTTTCAAATTTAGAGAGATGCACTAACGTTAAAAACGATTAGTAATATTATACCTAATCTATCAATTATCAATTTAAAAACTATCCGGGTTTAACCCATTCCCAATTTTGTTTTAATGTATAGCTAATTGATAATGTTGTAGTTATATGTAATTATTAGAAGTACTAATCGCTTTATATCTGATGAAACTTTGCGAGGATTTAAGACTTAAAACCTATTTTGACGTAATAAGTGAACCTTTCTTCGTTTTCAAAAAAGAAAAAGAAAATTTTATAAATTTTTCTTTCGTATTATTAATTTTACTGAAAACCAGTGCGTCTTTTTGATTTAAATAAGTGTATTCCTTTGGGTTTTGTAAATATTATATCGCCCATAAACCAATTTTTTAAATTTATTCACATAATTATTTGAAATATTTGAAGAGGTAAATTAAAACTTGTCGGAATTGATCCGCGATGGTCTAAGGCTGTGTACATTCCGCATTTTTTATGGTAGTTCACGATACCCTGATATACTTTTGGAAGCAGAAGGTACGGGAAATTTAAATGGTAGAACCTGGTCATTTTTTCGCGTTTTAGTTGTTATCGTTTTCGCCTAATTTATATTACTGTACTACCATATTCACCTTTTGTAAAGTTTTAGAAAAAATGTATTCGTAACAGCCAATAAAATTTAGAGTTAGGGTTTGGGCTACACGAATTTTTGTTTATTTTTACTAAGCAGATGTTACAAATAAGGCGTGTAACATCATGCTATTTTATTTTATAGTTGGGCTGGAGTGGAGTGGAACGGAGTGAAAGACCTTAGAGCCTTACTCATAGAAATTTTTGCGATGTCCGGCTCCCGCCCTTGTAATGATAAATTTTTATCATCCCCTGTAAAACTTCTGATCAGCAATTAGGGATGGAAAATTACTGTAATCTTCTGAAAATCAAAATTACATGTAATTTTTATCATGTGAATAATTTTTGCAAAAATTTTTATAACTCTTGCATTAAAATAAATAAAAATTACAATTCCGAACATAATGAT